CAATAGGCTGTTCGTCAGGTATAGGCGGTTGAACTTTTTCCATACGATCAAGTACGGTTTGTTGATTATTTAATTGAGGCATATCTTCAACAGATTCTACTGTGTTTGCTATTGGTGATGAAGAGCCCGATTTGAGGTCATTTTCTATCACTTGAATAGGGGAAGTTTTCCTACTTGTTTCCTTTTCTTCCTCATCCTCATTTTCATCTTCATACTCCTTTCCCTTCTCATACTCCTTTTCTTTATTTTGTAAATCATCTAAAGCCTTTTCAATAGATTGTTCAATTGTCATGTCATTACTTGAATCTTCATTTGTAGTTTGTACTTCAAGCATATTCTCGCCAACCGCAAGGATTGTTTGTTGCCTTGGATCAATAGGATCAGGTTCTTCTATTTCCTCGATAGGAGTTTGTGGAAGTACAGAATCTTTAATTGTACCATGTGGGGAGGCAGATGAAGTATTGGCATATAAAGTAGCCCTACTACTTTTTTCAACGGGAAGAAAATTGTATAAAGTTTTATAATTCATTCCATTCTCCTGAGAAGACTGATTTGAGTTTGTCGATGATATCAAGTTATAATTCGTGTTTTGAGAATTTCCTATAGGTTGATCAGTGCCTGGAGGTAACACATTATTTTTATATTCCATAGAAGTTCTTTCATAAGATGCTCTTTTATAACGTGTACCATTTTCACCTGAACCAGCATAAAAATTCACATAACTTGGTGGTTCTTGTTTTTTTTTTTTTTTTTTAATAAAAAAATATAAATATTTATTAAAATATAACATTAAAATAAGAAACATTACATCATATGATTGAATACCTGGTATTTCCGGTCCTGTAGCATGCTCTTTAATGAAAGTTTGAATATCTTTATCCACATTACAATTTTCCAAACACACTCTAATACGTTCACAAGACTTTAAATAAAAAATAAAGATTAATAACAATTCAAAAAATATATAATTGAATATAAATTTAGACCAACAAACCTCATCATCAACCACACAAATAGATGATATTAGATTCGCATAATTCCATAATTCTTGTTTCAAAAATTCAATTCTATCCTCCTCTAAATATTGGAATTTCTTTAATAGATGTTTTAGAAAAATAATTAATTATATGAATATGCTATATTAAAAAATTAACAAACATGCAGATACACTTACTTCACATGCTAACCTCCAATCATCATTCCACTTCTGAGTTGCATCGGTAGCAATTTTAACCATTTGCATATATTCTTGATCTATGTAAAATGAAATATTATCAGTAAGTTAAATAAAACATATTTACACACGAAATACTTACCAGCAGCTTTTGCAGCCAACTGTGTTTTTTCAATCTTTAGACTTAACTAATATAATAAAGAAATGAAAAATTAACTATTATAATGAAATAAAAAAATTAGCTATTAACTTATTCGTTACCTTTTCCAAATCCTTTCCCACAACTGTTTTCTTAGATTCCAATAATCCTGGTAACTTTAAGCACTCTGATTCATATTTTTCTCTTGCCTATAAATAAATAATAATAATAATTATTATTATTATTATAATTAATCATAATATAAATTATACAGCCAGAACTCCCTAAATACGCGTTCTATAAGTGCACAGTATCTATAAATGCACTCTGTATCTTAGTTACAACTACTACGGTAATGATACACATTCTCCAAATCATACCTTTAAAATGTAAACTTATAGTCATGGAGTTTTGGACTGTAATAATAATATATAACATCAAATACGTTTTTTCCTAACCTTTTGGACAGAAGAAATTTGCGTTTGCTTATTTCTCAGGCTTTTTTCTACAACACTTTGTTGCTATTATATATTAAATCAAAAAAAAAATGATCTTTTAAATAGAAAGTAAAAATTTTAATTAGCATATATTAAGACTAAAAATCAACAAACCAGTTTTCTCTTCTCTCTTTGCTTCGTAATAAAGTCTGATAATTCTTGTTCAAGTTCAACTTTTATTTTCTGAGAAAGACCAATATGTTCTTTTGCCGTCGTCTCTAATTCTTGCCGAACAGTTTCTAGAGCATCGCGCAATGTACTTTTGATTAAAAAATAATAAATATTAGGATATAATTGAACATGAGATAATGAAATTTTGAGTGAAGAAAAAAAAAAAAAAAAAA